CAGAAATGTATATGTGTGCTGTGTACAATTAATGAACATAAAAACCATGACATTGTTTCAGCTGCAGACCAGAGGACAGAGAAGCAGGTATTTAAAACTAGACACTGATGAAGTATTGCTGACACTACTTTCATAAGTGTTTATATCGGCACACATATTAACTGCAGCAGAAATTAACAGCAGCTGCAAGAAGAGTTTCACTTTTTGCTGAAAATGAACCGTAAACCTTTATCAACACAATCTTTCATAAAATGGGCTTTCATTACACTATTCACCTGTTCTTTGACATATAATACATATAATAAATATATACTTCCATCAGTCAAAATGCAGAAACACTGTCAGTGTGAAGCTCTACGTCTGTGTCAGTTTCACTTTTATAATACTTACACTTGTAGTAATTCATGTATGATGATTGTAACTGATCATGACTTCTGGAGTTTGAACCTGCAGCTATTATCAGCTCCACCTTTACTGGATTCATCTGTTCACATGATGATTTAGTGCCAGTAGTTTTCTGTGACGTTCACTATCATCTGTTTGTCCTGCAGAAGCAGCTGAAGGAGACACAGAAGACGTTCCAGCAGAGCATCCAGCAGAGAGAGAAAGATCTTCAGCAGCTGAGAGAGGCTGTGGAGTCTCATAAGGTGAGTCTGGAGAAGAAGAGAAGTTTGTCTCAGTCTCAGTTCAGACTCACTGAAGCCTGAATCACTGTGTGTCCTAACAGCGCTCTGCACAGACAGCAGTGGAGGACAGTGAGAGGATCTTTACTGAGCTCATCCGCTCCATTGAGAGACGGCGCTCTGAGCTGATACGGCTGATCAGAGATCAGGAGAAGACTGCAGTGAGTCGAGCTGAAGGACGACTGGAGCGACTGGAGCAGGAGATCAATGATCTGAGGAGGAGAGACGCTGAGCTGGAGCAGCTTTCACACACACAGGATCACATCCAGTTCCTGCAGGTAACAGAGATCTAGAAGAACAGGATCATAGTGGACTTGAGCAGATCCTGCTGTGACAGAGACTCACAGAAAAACATTTCATGAGTGTCTTATTATATAATCATCAGTCAGACTCTCATCTGATCATCTTCTTCTGAAAGAGATGCCGCTTACAAATGGCTTTCAGCTCTGGAAATCTCTTAGGAATCATTTCTCTGAGCTCTTTCTTCTGGAAGATATATTTAGCTGTCAAAGACCACTAGTGCCACCAACAGTTCAAAACTTCACTAACATTTCAAATTTTTATCAGATTTTTCCTTCTGATTTATTAAGTCAGGGTGAAATCAGTGAACTCGATAGTACTGATTCTGTGTAACTTTCATCAAAACTGGATCAGGTGATCCTCAAACCTGATAAAAGTGATTTTTATTTGCCTGTAACACATTGATGAATTTGACCATGAAGACCCCAAACATGAAGTCAGGCTGTATATTAGCAATGCTTCAGTGTATAGAAACCAAACCAAACCTGAACGTGTCTTGAGGGGCAGTGGTGGAAAGAGTACTAAAAATTGTACTTAAGTAAAAGTATTGCTACTTAATGAATAATTTACTTGAGTACAAGTAAAAGTACTGAAACATAATATACTTGAGTCAAGAGTAAATAAGTAGTAAAACTACTCAAGTTACTATTATTTTTGTATTTTTACCCAAAATGAGGCGATGTGAGCATTATGGAGTATTAAACAGTCTCATGTAATGTCTGTTTCACAAGTGAGACTCATGGACCCAATATATTACATAGATCCAATATACTGTTACACATGTGTTTTCTTTCACAACTGTTTACGTTCACTTACATAACCGACTGTGTTTACGAGGATATTTTGACATATTTTTGTGTGCATTTGTCCTTTCAAATGCAAAAAGACATGGAAGAGGACTCAGTTCAGTATCACACACTATACAGTATGAGAGGCGGCTTTTTGCGCGCACGTCTTGGATGTGTGTGCAGCAGAGAAAACAGCACACGAGTCTTATTGACTTGAATAGTTTAAAATAGCTGTTTCTGTGCATGAGTCTTCTTGTGCTTGAGTGGTTTAAAGTCGTATTAAAATGCGCACAAAGGAATCGAAATTGTAATTTTTATAACAAGTATCCGATTGCAGAATTGGAATCGATTTTTGATTCCAAAGCCTAGCTATGGGTTAATATGTTAAATAAAATGCTCTTTTTTCGTTCCACCGAAAATATGCCTGGAGTCCACCATTGCTATTGTAACAAACAACGCTTTTACGTGCATCTGATTGACAGAAAAATCATTGTTGATGTTGAGGTTATTTCAGCTTTGTACAAAGTTTGCTTTGTACATTTAGTTTAAATGCGCTTTACCATTCAGCTGAACTGTGTGCATGCATTTTAGACACTTAGTACATGGGCGTAGATCACGTGGGGGACGTGTCCCCCCCACTTTTAATATCACGTAAATTCGGCCCCCGCACTTTTTTGGGCAAGTGTGTTGGCATAGAGGTTTTCAAGAGCCGGTGTGAATAAATATAGATTTAAATTCAAAGACAGGATAGTCTGTGCTTGACCTGATGTTTTATTCGGACCCAGAATAAGGCGAGATGAACACTCTATCCGAGCCCTACACTTGGATACTCCCATATGCCCCTTGTACAACCGAGCTAAGATCTCTGTCTGCATTTTCTCTTGAATTACACATTTCTGCCCTTTCATCAAGGGGCCATTAGCAATGTACAGCTCACCTTGATGGATCCAGTAAGGTTTTATGTCTTTTTTTAGTTCCTCCTGTCTTAGCCACCCCATCTTACATCGCTCCATCAACTACCTGCAGATCCTGTCCTGTTGCTGTGCTTCCGCTATTTGTTGTAGCTTTGACTTTGACGCTGGCAAGCCGTTATGTATTACATCTACAAAACTTGTGTTTCTCTTTCCAGCTCCTTTTCCTCACTTGAGAGTTCTCTGACTATTGGGGCTCTTGACAATGCATCTGCGGTAACTAAGATCTTGCCTGGAACATGCACTATGTTGTTATGTGTATCGCAGAAGTCTCAGACGGAATCTTTGAATCCTGGAGGGTAAGTCATCCAGTGCCTTTGTTCCCAGAAGGGCCAACAGTGGCTTGTGATCTGTCTCTATAGTAAATTGGAGGCCAATCAGGTACGAGTTGAGTCTTTCACAAGCCCACGTTACTGCCAACGCCTCTTTCTCCACCTGGGTATATCTCTGTTCTGTCTCAGACAGAGTTCGTGAAATAAAAGCCACAGGACGCCATTCCTTGTCATTCTGCATCTGGGTAAGGACTGCTCCTAATCCAAAAGAGGATGCGTCAGCGGACACTTTTGTTTTTGCGTCTGGCTTGTATTGTGCAAATACTTGGGTTGATGTCAAGTCAGATTTGATCTTTTCAAAAGCTGCTTGCTGCACACTGCCCCAAATCCAATCGTTCTGCTTGGCTAATAGATCACGTAGTGGTTTTGTATCATCGGTGAAATGGGGTATGAACTTATTCATGTATGTGGCCATGCCAAGGAGACGTCTAACATCTGCCACATTTTGAGGTGTAGTCATCTCCACAATTGCCCTCACCTTTTCTGGATCTGGTGCAATTCCCTCAGAACTCACTTTGTGGCCTACAAACAAAACTTCAGACTGTGCAAATGAACACTTCTCATTTAGAGTTAGGTTTGCTTTTTGAATTCTGGAAAGGACCTCAGTCAGTCGCTCCTCATGTTGGACTTTATCTTTTCCACATACTAACACGTCGTCGGCATGGCATATTACTCCTGTTATTTCCTCTTAGAGCTGAGACATACGTCTCTGGAAGTGTTCTGGACCCGAGTTGATGCCAAAAGGTAGGACATTAAAGCAGAATCGACCAAATGGTGTGATGAATGTTGTGAGTTCTCTGCACTCTTGTGCCAGTGGTATCTGCCAAAAGCCAGATTGTGCGTCCAGCTTGGTAAAAATTGTTGCACCATTCAGTTGGGCCAGTGACTGTTCAACAGAAGGTAATATATGCCGCTCTCTGCATACTGCCTCATTTAGCTTGGTTAAATCGACACATATCCTGATTTTTCCTCATCCTTAGCTGGACATTCTTTCCAACTGTGAGAAGGGGTTCTGCCACATTTTGAACATTTACTCGTGCTGGATGCATTCTCTGTCTGTTTTATTGCGTATCCTGCTTGTTGTTTACTGTTATATGCTGCCTGTTTTCTTTTTACTGGTCCTGAAAGTGCATCCACTTCACTTTTCTCATCCGTCTGTGGAGAGCTGCCCTGCATAATAGCTTGCTACCGTTTAACGGTCTCGTTCTGTTTCACTTGACTGATAGCTCTGCTCAACGTCAAATCAGAGTCCAGCTGGAGTTTTTCTGAAAGTGCCATGTCTCGTATCCCCACAACAATGCGATCACGTATTAATTCATCTTTCAAAACTCCAAAATTACAGTGTTCTGCCAGGATATGGGCCTCTGTTATAAAGCTATCAGCTGCAGCTGACTCGCCGGAGTCTAGTTTACGCATATTATACTTGGCTCACTCGAAAATAACGTTACGCTTCCCCACAAAATGATAATTGAAACATTTTTCCACCGCCGCCTAGTTGAGTTTTTCGTCCGCATTTAAAGTGGAAGCATTCAAAATATCCTCCGCTTCATCACCCATGAAGTAAATTAGAGTATTGACCTGGAATTAGTTGTCTCTCTTGTTCAATCCCGACGCGACATGGTATCTTTGGAAGCGTCTGAACCATTTTGGCCACTCTTTGCCATCAGCACAGTCAAATTTGTCAGGAGCGCTGACTGGAAAACTCTCCCGAGTGTGTGCGAGTTGGCCCTTCGTTCTCAGACATCATGTAAACAATACAAAGTTCGTCGCCATTCAGTAAACTGACTTCGGGTGTCAAGAGAGCATCAGATGTGTTTGTCCAGTGTCCTTATTTTGTTTCTTTATCAAGACTTCTGACACCATGTAGTAATAAATCCACAACACACACGGCCAGTACGATGGATTCTGTTTACTGAACTTTACGCATGCGTCACAACTACAGGTCCCGTTTTGGGACATCTACTACAACAGGGACATATATATAGGCCTATAGAAAACACCACCACACACCACTGATATATATATATATATATATTAGTGCTGTCAAAATTAGCGCGTTAACGCAGGCGATTAATTTTTTCAGTTTAACGCGTTAAAATTATTTAACGCAGGGGTGGAGCCTAGGGTTGGCCACCCCACTCATTACTGCTGTTTCTGTCTGTTTTTTCTTGACAAGAAGTGCATTTATACAGTCGCAGAGCGTCTTTACGATCACATCAATCTGGAGACGTTTCAGATGCGTGCTCCAGCTTCACTTCAGCGGCAGGCGCGAGTCAAACAAGCGCGGAAACCGGCGCGCGCTGTAGCCTGTATCAATTCATATCAAAGAGCGAAATAAACTACGTGCATGCAATGTCGTGGTCGGTTAAGGCATGAAGTTACCAAAAAGGCGATTAAAGCTGCCTTAAAACTGTGCGTGCATGTAATATGTTATATATGAGTTACGTTAAGAACATGTCTCTGAAATGGTTTTCAAAACTGTCCTGGAGCAGCCCAGCACGGTCTCACTCATCTAACACACCCGATTCAACTCGTCAGCTCATTAGTAGAGACTGAAATGGGTCAGAAAAGGTGATGAGAGTTGAGAGAAAATACGATGAGTGTCAGAGTCACGTGTTCAGCAGCGGCAGCTCTTAAAGAAATAGCAGCTAAAAACAACCTAATAAGTCAAGTCTGCTTTATTGTCAATTCTTCCACATGTACAGCACATACATACAGAGAATTGAAATTAAGAAGAGTTTTATAAATGATGTAAATGATAGGGCTGCCCTCGACTAACTATTTTTCTGATCGACTAATAGTCGTACGTTTGAAGCGATTAGTCGACTAATCGCACATTTATATTAATTAACCATATAATTCATAATAATGAGCTTTTAATTGCCTATAGCCCATCAGCGCTCAAGCGCACACATAAAGTTTGCCCCAGAGCACCGCAGAAGTAATGATTATGAATGTTTCAGGGAAAAAAACAGCAAGAAGACTGCTTTAACATCATACTAATTCATTGATAAACTAGGGTTTTCGGTATTTTCGGCTGCAGTGATGAAGTCGACACTGACTCTTCATCTCCACAGTGGACGTGCACGTTTCATACGGATTACATAATCAGCAAATATTTGTTTTCCATTTGAATTGCACGGAGCATGGAGTTTCGGTTAATATATATATATATATATATAATTATTATTATTATTATTATTAATGCGTTGAAGTTCACAGAGACCTAGATGGCAGAAAGTGCACCCTGTTTGCTTTCATTATTTTACAAAAGCACAACATTTTGTTGTTATTGTGAGTGCGCACAAATGAAAATAGAGCTTTTACAGATTCGAAAGATGTATTGCTCTTATCTGTATGACCAAAAATGACGGAGCATTTTAAGTTAAATGCAAATGATCGCACCGGTCGTGCAGTGAGCGCTACTGTTCAGCTTCCACACTCCGCACAAACACTCGAATAACGCACATTTATAGGTTAACATTAGATTGAGTGGCCATGTAATGAGGCTACTACTTACATGTTTCTGATGATAACCCATATTTGAGGTCGATGATCGAAACAAACGTCTGCATGTCCTGACTAGAGGTGTGTGATATTGACAAAAAATAATATCTTGATATTTTTGGGGATTTTATCGATGATGATAATTAGGCGATATTTTGCTTGAGTGTGTTATTGTTTGAGCTTGAACGTGTGTATTTGTTACATGTAGCTAACATGTGATCCACATGTTAAAACCTATTAACACATGGAAACATTTTCCACATGTGATCCACATGTGCTCTTATGTTGCAACATGTGGTGACATGTTGTCTTCATGTGATCACATGTGAAAAATATATGGACAAGTGATCACATGTGAAAATAATATATGGACACATGTGATCACATGTGAAAAACATGTGAAATTCATGTGGTTTTTCTGTAAGGGGGAATCAGTGTTACAAGTACCCCAGGCACATCGTTTTTACATTTTTGACGTATAAACCCCATAAAATCGATACGAGCTTTGGATCTTTCAATGTTTCTCTATGGCGCTGAAACCTAAAGATGTCCGAGTTCCGCTCCCCGTGCAACTGATACTCGACTGCCATTGGCTAGTCTGCGTTCGAGGGGAGGGGCTTACCGATAGGTCAGTTGTGTCATCATTTATTCACCCTCATGGTCCAAAAGAGTATATGTAATAAATTTTATCAGACAAAATATTTCTTGCTGAAGCTACTTTTTGTAATGTCTGTTTGATGCTTTACACAACAATGACTTTAAATTATCTTTTGGGAGTAATTTCTCAGCCAAATTTGATGTTTGAAAAATTACGTCTGGTAAGCGAATTTTTAATCTAATTAATTACATCATGTAATTAATTAGATAAAAAATTCGCTTACCAGACGTAATTTTTTACCTTTTATGGGCATTTTTACCTTTATAAAGCCATTTTTGTCTAAAAGTGTGCATCAGCAATGAGTCAAATTCTTACGTTTAATCAGTGGATTAGAATAATATGACATTTGGGCTGTTACCGAGCAAATGAAATCAGTATCAACAAAATTCATCTTTGCAGTGCAGAGGAAACACAGAAGCTGCGTCTGAAGTGGCATTTAGATGCGTTTACACACTGTTTAATGCAGGACATGAATGCATTTACCCTGCAGTTACAAATGCATAAATAATGTTTTGATATATTAAACATAAAACGTTGAATACTGATATGTGAAATTCTAATAAAAAAACAATGAAAAGATACTTTAAATGTGAAATTAAAACCGACAGCAGGAGGCAGCAAGTCACTGTTAATAAGTGAGTCATTGAAATTAAACCAAATAATTTAAACGGTTGATTCATTCAGGAACGAAACACCGTCATGTTGCTCAGAGACGCAAAACAGCGCTGTGGCTTTATTTGGAATTATTTTTGTTGTCAAAATAGAGCAAGAACAGGCGATATGGTGTCTAAATTGTAAGTCTCTTAATATTAACTTCTTGTTTATTGAACTGTTGTAAAAAATCAATATCACATTTGTAATCATGCTAATTTTTGGAGAAGAAAAACGGCACTCTTTGTGTGATATTAACTATATGAAATGATATAAATATATACATTTTCTGCCCTCATATCTTGAATTTTGTGATCATTCTAAATATTTTTAATAGACTGAATCATGCAGTGAAAGAACACACTTCACGTGATGTGTGCATGCACTCTGTAGTGTTTTGCATGGTTTTTGCGATATACTCGTGTGGCGAGGGGGGCGTGGTTCAGCGAAGTCTGCAGCAGGAGAGAAGGGCGGGAGACGAGCAGTGAGTAAGTAGGTCAAGTGCAAATTGATGAACACCTGTGTCTGATTGCAGTAATTGACCTGGAGAGACCGGTTAAAAGGCAGACTGGAGAACGTGGAGGCAGAGAGAGACGGAGACTCGTGGGCATCGCTCGGCCAGGAAGAGAAAACCTGAGGAACTGAATTTGTGCCATTGGCAGCGTGTGAACCCGCTGGAAGCGCTACTTTTGTTTTGTTAGAGTTTTGAGTTATTAAATAAACATCCACGAGTCTCCAAACGCCAACCTTGTTTACTTCCTTCCTTCCTTACTACGAACCTTGTTACACTGGTGCCGAAACCCGGGAAGGGAGCGATAACGCCGCCGCCATCATGTCATCTCCGTCAAGTTCACCGTTTGCGGAGGTCATCCACTCGCTTGCGGGACTCCATCAAGAGCACCATATCATCACGCTCCGTGAGGATTGGCCTCTCGGCAGTGCTCGGTTCCTCTGGTGCAGAATCGGTCAGTCGTGGTTCCGTCTTTCCCGTCTGCACAGCCGCCTTCCCTCCCCGCTTCTCTTTTCCCCAAGAGACATCCACACACAAATACCCCAATAAATGACTAAAAGCTGGCCAATTGGTCCCCAAAATTAGCGGATGCCTGAGGTTCGGGTTAACTGCAACCTCCACTTTATGCTTCTGACCCCGAAATTGGATAGCTAGGAGCATTAAAGGATACCTCACCACATCCCCGTGGACGCACCGCACCCGAACCACGCAGCTCTTATCCAATGCCTCCGGCTGAATTAGGCTTTGATGGATCGAGGTTTGGTTACATCATGAATCCACCAGAGCCCAATAAGTACCCCCCTTAATACTCACAGGTATTTAGTACATGCCAGCTTGATCGGGGGCAGCCTGTGGGGCATCCGGGACCTGGATCAGTGTCCCCACCTCCATCACCGGACACCGATCAATAAAGTGCCCTAGGTCCCTGCAACGCCAACAGGCCGGCCCAGACCTCCCCACCGTCCCAATGGCAGGAAGTGGGTCAGGAAATTGGAGTGGAGAGAATGGTGGAATGGGAGCTGTGGCGGGACTGCTGCCTGTCGACCCCGCCCTCCCTGGGCGGCACCCTCAGGCCAGCTGTCAGGTTCGGCGTGGAACTACCCCTCCACCGGTGTGAGGCTCCTGGAGGGAGATTCCCTCGGGACCTGGACAGCCCCGCCCCCCTGGAGAGGGTCCTCAGTCCGGCGGACTCCGGTGCCGGACCACCCCTCTATCGGGGCTGCGCTCGAGGTGGGAGATTCACTCGGGACCTAGGGAGAGGGACAGGCTTAGAGGTAAAGGGGGGAGAGAGAGACAGAAGGCAGGGTTTCGCCAACCCCATGGCACGCCACCATCTGGTCTTCCGCCAGTTCAATGGCCAGGTCTAGCACCACGCGATCGACGGTCTGGTCGACGTCGCTTCCCCCAGCCAACAGCCATTTGCGGCACGCGTCCCGGAGCTGCTGAGCCATCACAAAGGGCCGGCCGTTTTCCCCCAGCTCCAGTGATCTGAAACACTGACGGTGTTGTTCGGGATTCAGGTCGACCAGCTGGAGGATGGCTCGTTTGAGGTCGTCGTAGACCAGGAGGTTCTGAACTGGCAACTGTTGTGCAGCCATTTGTGCCTCCACCGAAAGCAGCGGAATGAGGCGCACCGGCCAGTTCGTCCGGGGCCACCCACATGCCTCCGCAGTCCTCTCAAAGAGGTCGACAAAGGCCTCTGGATCATCCTGCGGGCCTAACTTGCTCAAAGGCATGTGGGCTGGCAGTCCGCACCAGCGTCTATCACCCACAAACAGACGGACAGGTGGAACGATTTAATCGCAATTTGAAAACCATGATTCGAAAGTTCGTTCACGAAGACGCCAAAAATTGGGATAAATGGCTGGAACCCCTTTTGTTCACTGTGCGCGAGGTCCCGCAAGCCTCCACGGGGTTTTCCCCCTTTGAGCTCCTTTACGGTCGCCAGTCCCGTGGGGTTTTGGACGTTCTGAGAGAGGCTTGGGAGGAGGGAACTTCGGATAGCAAAAACGAAATTCAGCATGTGCTGGACCTGAGAACAAAACTCCACACATTGGGGCAGCTCTCTATGGAGAATTTGTTACAGGCCCAGGACAAGCAGAGCCGGCTGTATAATCGGGGAACCAGATTACGTGATTTTGCATGGGGAGATAAAGTGCTTGTATTGCTCCCAACTTCTAGCTCTAAATTACTCGCCAAGTGGCAAGGACCCTTTGAGGTCACACGGCGGGTGGGCAATCTTAATTATGAGGTAATTCGATCGGACAGGAGTGGGGCACGTCAAAT